CACGCCGGATGGACTGGCGGAGAGACGAGCCGATGTAGTAATGAGACAGGCTGTTCAATCTGCAGATGATCTGGAGGCGCCTACCACGTCTAACGCCCCTGTCAATGGGAACGAATCGGCGCCCCAGCAGGAGCGATCACGAGGATCGGCTACGACTGGTGTGCTGGACGGAGACCATGACGAGGGAAGCGCAACGCAGGCAGCAGTGGTTGGAGGAGCTCGCGCAGTGGAGTTCCTTACCCCGAGGTCCGCTATGACTACAACGTCAGTCGCTCAGAACAACTGGATGACTGGATTGGAGGTACCGCGCTGGGTGACACGGTTGGGAAGTTATCTGGCGCAAGGGCGGGGAGATCTATCTCCCAGCCCACTGGCAGGATCAATGGCGTCGCCGCAGTCGCCACCAGGAGGACCTGCTTTTCGGCTGAGGTCCCCGACTCGAACCACGCGGCCGCTACCGCCGCCTACACCGCCGAGTTCGGATATTTCAGCTGAGGCCATACAAGCCGAGGTACAGCGACAACTGGGTGGAATCCTGGGACGTCTTCAGGTGGCAGAGAGCCGGAACGAGGCCTTGATGAGTGAACTAGGCGAGGCTCGACGAGTCCTGGAGGTGGCCAGAACAAACCGCGTACCTGATCGGCATGGTGTAAGTGTACCGAATCGGGATCCACTTGGAGGGGTTCCGGGTTTCTTAGAACAAGGCAGCCTATGGGGACCGGGAGGGCAACTTTCAGGAGATCTCCTACGTGACCCACATGATCTACGAGGACGCCCTACTGAACCTCCAGCTCCCCCTAGGCTATTGGAAGATCTTCTTACAGCTCCATCAGGTCCCGGAATTCCCACGGAAGAACCCCAAGTACCAGACCCTGATGCAGCAGGAGCGAGATCTATTCCACAACCACCTCCCCTACCTGAAGCTCGAAGTTTCATGAGGTCGCTTCTGGGCCAAAGGACGAGGAGCGAAACACCGCCGCCGAGGGCACCTTCGCCTGGAGCTCATGGGGATTCGCCGGTTATGAATGCGCTACTAAAAGGGGTGCAGCAGCTTCAGGAATTACAAGCAGCAGCCATGACAAAGAACCAGTACCCTGCCGCGGAGGTCATTAAGCCTGGAACAACAACTTTGGCTCAGCTGCCTGAGCTTACACCGGGTGCTGAGACGGCCATGAAGTTTCAGGATTGGCTGGAGCTTACTACAGCAGTGATGTGTGATGTTAGCGAACAGAGCGGCAGCTGGTGGCGACGAGTCCTCCAAGAAGTAGAGAGTACATACAGACGATGGCTGGGCAGTACGCCGCTTGAGCGTTTGAGTATACAACCGGAGGGCGAGGAGCTGTCCGTCGATCGGTGGCTGAGGCTGAACGCCAGGGTGTCGGCAATGTTGCTTGGTGCAATGTCGCCGGAGCAACAAGCGGAGATGGTTTCGCATCGTATTTCCACCAGCGTGGTCAAGATGTTATACAGACTCCACACGTTATATCAACCAGGTGGCAGCAATGAGCGAGAGGACATTCTGAGGAAGCTGCAGAGCCCTGCCGACAACCTTGCCAGCAACACCTTGTCAGAGGTGCTCAGGGTGCTACGTTCTTGGCCGCGATGGATCGCGAGGTGCGCCTCGCTGCAAATGATGCCTCCGGATTCTTCAGTGTTGGCGAGGGGGTTGAAGCAGTTAACCTCAAGCCACTTGGAGCAGTCTCAAGATGCAGCTTTCCGGACGGCAATGGTGAGAACAAGCCTGAGGCTGGATGGACAGCCTCGAATGGAGGATGTGTATGCGTACCAGCGGCACCTGCAGGCGGAGGTCGAGAACCTGTTGGCCAGTCGGCCAGCCGCTACCCCTACCACGGGCCAGGAGCAACCGCGGCTTCGAGCTTTGGAAAGACCTACGTCAGTGCGTGAGCGGGAGAAGGGGAAGGATAAGGACAAGGGATCTCCGACCTCTGAGTTGTGTCGGTACTTTATGAAGCCTTCGGGATGCAAACGGGGCGCAAAGTGTTCCTATAGCCACAGCATGGCCACCTTGGACCGTGAAACCAGGAATAAGAAGTGTCTACTTTGCGGAGCAGAAGGACACAGACAAAGGGACTGTACAGTGGGCAAGGGTACAAGAGCTACTACCACGCCCGGCTCGCCGACCAACAAGGACCAGCGGTCTCAGAGAATGCCGTCCGCGGGGACTTCGTCGGTGACTACTACCACGCCGAGCTCGAC